TCCTGGGATTATAGGTGTGAGTCACTGCACCCAGCCCAGAGGACTCTTTTTTAGAGTCTGTAGCCAAAAAAAGTAAGAGGGAATGTTGGAGTTAGAAAAATCACCATTTTTTGCAACTGTTATAATAAAAACTGGCTTGGGTCAGTCCATGATGAGTGGATGCTAACTCTAGGAGGGGAAAGTCAGAAGTGGAGCAAGATTATTTGCATAATCTCAAAATGTCTCCCCACAGATTGCCAAGAGGGAAAACAGTAACTATAGAATTGTGGAGAGGCCGGGCACAGTGTCTCACACCTATAATCCCAGCACTTTGGGAGGCAGAGGCGAGAGGACTGCCTGAGCCCAGGGATTCGAGACCAGCCTGGGCAACCGAGAGAGACCTCGTCTCTACAATAAATCAAAAAGTCAGTTGGGTGTGGTGGCGCATGCCTGTGGTTCCAGTTACTTGAAAGGCTGAGGCGGAAGGATCACCTGAGCCCAGCAGGTTGAGGCTGCGGAGACCGTGAGCATGCCATTGACCTCCAGCCTGGGTGACAGAGTGAGATTCCAACTCAAAAAAAAAAAAAACTGTGGAGAAGCTGGACAACACCTTGACCAATTTTGACCTTGGTCAAAATTAACATCACCAATATGGACAGACACCATAGACCCTGGGATGTGCTTCCCTGTAAAAGAACACATGACTCATGTCATACTCTAGCCCAGACTCACAGCCTGAATGCACTCTTGAGGAAAAAAACAAACTGATAAACAGTTTTTTTGTTTTTTGAGTCGGACTCTCACTCCGTCGCCCAGGCTGGAGTGCTGTGGCAGGCTCACTGCCAAATGTAATGTTGTTTTTTTTTGAGTTGGAGTCTTACTCTGTCACCTAGACTGGAGTGCAGTGGCATGCTCATGGCCACTGCAGCCTCGAACTTCTGGGCTCTGGCGATCCTTCCACCTCAGCCTTCCAAGCAGCCACATCTATAAGCACGTGCTACCATGCCTGGCTAGTTTTTTTTTTTTCAATTTATCGTAGAGACCAGGTCTTGCCAAGTTGCTCCGGTTGGTCTCAAACCCGCGGACCAACCAGGGCAACGTGGCAATCCATTCACCTCAGCCTCCCAAAGTGCTGGGATTACAGGCTGAGCCACCAAGTCCGGACCAAATGTAATTTTATTTATTTTTTATTTTTTGAGTTGGAGTCTCACTCTGTCGCCCAGACTGGAGTGCAGCAGCCGCTCCCGGCCACCGCAGCCTCGACCGGCTGGGCTCCGGCGATCCTTCCGCCTCAGCCTTCCAAGTAGCTGGAACTACAGGCGCGCGCTACCATGCCCATCTAAATTTTGATTTTATTGTAGAGATGCGGTCTCACCAAGTTGCCCAGGCGGGTCTCGAACCCGCAGGCTCAGGCACCAAATGTAATTTTAGATAGTTAAAGAAGACTTCACTTTGGAGGTGACAAATGAACAAATATCTAAAGGCAATCTGGGAGCCAACCACATAGAGGGATTACACTGAGGAAAAAGAGGACAGCAGGTGCAAAGGCCCCAGAACAGGTGTGGCCTCAGTTGAAGGATGTCTGAGATTAAATCTTAGGCTCTTTAAACAGCAGGGAAAGGACGAAAGGACTTATACATAGCAGGAGCCCAGTGAATGACGAGAGAGAGAGAGAGAGAGGTAACTTTGCTGAGTTCAGTTGTTTTCCAGCTTTATAGAACTGTTGCTTCTTTTCCCCTTTGAATTTGAGAAAGGGGGAAAGAAGCAACAGTTCTATAAAGCTGGAAAACAAAACACACACAACAGGTAATTAACTGATTTTATGTCCTGTTCTTCGGAGAAAAATATTTTTCAGGCTGGGTTTGGTGGCTCAGCCTGTAATCCCAGCATTTTGGGAGGCTGAGGCGAGTGGATTGCCTGAGTCCATTCGTTCGAGAACAGCCCAGACAACTTGGCAAGACCTCGTCTCTACAATAAATAAAAAATTAGCTGGGCATGGTAGTATGCACCTGTAGTTCCAGCTAATTGGAAGGTTGAGGCGGAAGGATTGCTGGAGCCCAGAAAGTCGATGCTGGGGTGGCCATTAGTGAGTGTGTTTCTGAACTCCAGCCTGGGCTGGAGTGAGACTCCAACTCAAAAAAAAAAAAAAAAAAAGAAAATTCTCAAATAGAGATGATTCAAGGAATTATAAGATTTTCATTTTTGTTTTTGCTTTCTGGCTTTGATTTGAGCTGAAATTCCATTTATTTATTTTTTTGAGTTGGAGTCTCACTCTGTTGCCCAGGCTGGAGTGTAGTGGCACGCTCACGGCCACTGCAGCCTCGACATTCTGGACTCAGGCGAACCTTCTGCTTCAGCCTTCCAAGCAGCTGGAACCACAGGCGTGTGCCACCATGCCCAGCTAATTTTTTTATTTATTGTAGAGATGAGGTCTTGCCAACTTGCCCAGACTGGTCTCAAACCCCTGGGCTCAGGCAATCCTCTAGTCTCTGCCACCCAAAGTGCTGAGATTACAAGGCGTGAGCCACCACACCCCACTGAGTTAAAAATTTTAAATAAAATTTTTTTTTCCTTTTTGCTTTTCACTGTATTTGGGACATTTTGCAGACATACAGAATTCTTTAGATTAGGGTTTGGAGTTCACATGGCAAATCTCAAAAGAATTCTATTCTTTGGAAGAAATTAAAATACTATTTATATAAAGAATAACAAGTTTATAGGGAATTACTAGTAATTTATGAATAGAAAGGCTATTTTTTTTTTCCCTAAGTGGCCAAGAGTTTCGAGTCTGAGATTTGGATACCCTTTTGCTATGGTTTGCACAGTCTGTGTTTGCCTCTTCACATAATTTTGGATGACTTTTACATGACCACAATACTGTTTTCATAAATGATATTTTTAGAAATTGGAAATAACAAAAAGTTCTGGTAGACTTGCCACTTGTCCTTAATAACTTGTGTCGCTAAATGCCTCCTTCCCAAAAAGTCACGGAGACGTGATACCAGCCAGGATTATAAATGTTAAATGGATGTTTTTACATAAGACAGTAGCAATACCAGAGGGCATGCAGTGGTTTAATTGCTGGTTCATTGTTAATATTTTTTAACTTTTCCGTTGTTTAAATTACAGAACAGTATTTGGGCTGGGCGTAGTGGCTCACACACGGTAATCCTAGCAATTGCCTGAGCCCACAGATTCGAGACCAGCCTGGGCAACATGGTGAGACCTCAACTCTATAAGAAAATCAACAAATTAGCTGGGCATGGTGGCTCATGACTGAAATTGCAGCTACCTGGAAGGCTGAGGAGGAAGGATTGCCCGAGCCCAGCAGGTCGAGGCTGCAGTGGGTGTGAGTGTGCCACTGCACTTCAGTTTGGGTGACAGAGTGAGACTCTGATTCAAAAAAAGCAAAGAAAAATGTTTAGTGTGTGTGTGTGTGTGTGTGTGTGTGTGTGTGTGTGTGTGTGTGTGCTGATTTTTCACAACTGATAACTGGAAAACGTTCTGGTCTCAAGGTGTAATCAGCGCCCTTCTTGTTTCAATGTAACCAAAGTGTAATTACTTTTTTTTCTTTTCTGAGTTGAAGTCTCATTCTGTCGCCCAGGCTGGAGTGCAGTGGCACACTCACAGCCACCGCAGCCTCGACCTACGGGGTTCAGGTGATCTTTCCTCCCCAGCCTTCCAAGTAGCTGGAACTACAGGCACGTGCCGCCACCACGCCCAGCTAATTTTTTGATTTATTATAGAGGTGAGGTCTTACTAAGTTGCCCAGGCTGGTCTCCAATCTATGAGCCCAAGCAATCCTCTCACCTCGGCCTCCCAAAGTGCTGGGATTATAGGCGTGAGCCACCGCACCCGACCAAAATGCAATTAATTTTAAGAGACACTCCACTTTGAGTCTTTCCCTTCCCGATAAAGATTTTTTTGGGAAAAATCAGCCCTATATTTAGCCTCTCTTATACCTGAAGGGCAAGAAACTTCAAAACATACCAAAATAACATAGTTGAGATTTTAGCTTTTATTTTCCTATTACACACGTAATGCATATTCACTACATAATGAAAAGGGGAAGCACAAAGGTCTAGAAGAGTCTATTTTAAAGTTGCCCATTCTCCCATCCCAGGTAAAACTGTTTACATTTTGGCATATTTCACTTGATTGGTCTTTTTCTATGTGTCTTTGAACACAGCTCAGATATTACTATATATAAAGTCTTACAGCCAGCTTTTTCAACATTATATTAAGTATTTTTTGTATCCATAAAAATTCTCTTTGTAAACATAATTTTAATGGCAGAATAACATTCTGTCATATGGATACACTATAGCTTATTTAAACATTCCCTTAAGATCAAATGACTAGTTAGAAGAGCTAGTGAGTCGAACCGTATCAACATTGTGAAGACCATTCTGTTAGAGAGGATGGTCTTAAGAGCACAGGAAGGGGACAGAGCCAGGGGTGGGGGCGAGGCCAGCGTGGGGGGGAGGTGGCTCACAGGTCCTGGCCCAGCCGCTCCAGCTCGTTGAGGAGGAAGTCCATGTCAGTACGGGTCAGTGCGGGGTTGGCCACCACCATGCGGAAGAAGTTGCCCCGGGTGCCGTGGGGCTGGTAGCCAATCATCATGGAGCCCTCCTTCACCATGCGCTCCTTGAGCACGGGGGCCACCTGTGCGCGGGGACACAGGCTCCAGCTGCAGCCTGGCTCAGGTGAGGGCTGGGCTGGCTCCCTGCCGCCAGCGACCAGACTTTTCCCTCCCCTGGCCGCCTTCGGAGCCAGCACTCGTGGCCCAGACCCTGACGGGGGCCCCGGTTTATCTTTCCTACCTCATCCAGCCTGTGTGGCTTTCTCCAGTTCTGCTTTCTTCCCCGTTTCTCTTGTCACATGGACCAATTTTTGCCAAATCCTGGCTTTTCTCTGAATCCCAACACTGCTGTAGTGTAACTTCAAGCCTTGTCATCCTTAACCCGTTTTTCTCCCTTCTTGATTCTTGTAATATTGGTGATCCTATTAACCTGTGCCCTGTGATCTAGCATGTCACTTACAAAACTGTCTTGAGCACGCTGGTTTCAAATAGGGGACTCCTGTTTTCTTTTTTTCTTTTTAGTTGGAGTCTCACTCTGTCATCCAGGCTGGAGGGCAGTGGCACGTTCTCGGCCACTGCAGTCTCGACTTGCTGGGCTCAGGCGATCCTTCTGCCTCAGCCTTCCAAGTAGCTGGAACTACAGGCATGCGCCACCATGCCCGGCTAAGGAACTCCTGTTTTCTAAAATAACAAGTCCTCCTGACCCTTCAGATCATCTGCGTCACCTATACCAATCTATCCTCGTGGAACAGGACATAACAAATCTCCTCGCACTTAGGAGGCACGTCTGGACTGTCTCACCAAGCTGTCCTGTCCCCAGCATCAGGGATAATGCTCTTCCATTCATCCTGGGCCCAAGCTCCCAGCCCAACTCCGAGCAAAGGGGTCTGGGTACTGGACACGGTGACTTCTCTGACTTCTGTAACAGCCCTGTCTTCTTCTCACTTCTCGGAGACATAGCTTGCTCCCCATCCCCACCCCCACAGAAAAGAGGACAAGCTGGTGCTATCTTCCAGGTGACAGTCCCACCTCAGGAGCGGAGAGACCAGCCAAGGGACCTGCCATACCGCTCACAGCCAGCAGGGGGAGGTATGGCACCAGCCGCATCAATTCCCTCAACTGGGTTAAGCAGAGGCTGGCGAGAAAGCCTACCTTGTACAGCCTTTGGCTGTAATCTGGACTCTCCTGCTTCCCCCGAAGGCTGGGAGGCACGAACCAGAAACACACGTTGACAAACTCAGGCTGAGCGGAATGAGGAAGGGGAAGGTGTGACCTGAGGAAGGGAGACTGATTTCCCCTCTTCCCACCCCACTTCCCCCATCAGGGCTTTGGTGTGTGGGACAGGTGGGGGCAGGAGTCGCGAGAGAGCGTGGGGTCATACCTCCATGACCAACTCAAATCCCTCCCGCTTCTTCACTTCCTCCACCAGGTACCTGTGGACAGAGTGAGGAATCGCAGACCGAGGAGGAAAGGCAGGGATCCAGAAACAGAAGAGACCCCTGAGAACGAGCCTGAGAGCCCCTGAGAGAGAGGCCACCACAGAGCAGGAATACAGGGAGGGGGTGGGCCCCGGGAGAGGGGAACTGGGGCGACCCCCCCACCAGTGCCTACTGGGCAAGGGCGAAGGCCCGGTTGACGCGCCGCTCCAGCCCTTGCCCGCCCTGCGCCTTCCACATGAGCCACAGCTTCAGACAGTCCACGCGGCGGCCACACTGCACCACCTTGTCTCCCGTGTCCAGAGCCACGTCGTAGAACTTGTCCTGCTGGAAAAGGTAGCTGGCCTGGGAGCCGTGGCAGTGCTTCAGCAAGTTCTGTGTGGGGCGAGGACATTGTCAGATGCGACCCTCTCCGCTGGGGTTGCCCTCCAGGGCTGCGGTAGGGGGTTCTTAGCTCAGGCCGCCCTTTTCTTTCCCTGGAACTGGGCGGTACTGCGGGGATGGCTGCCAGCTAGCTTGGTCCCCTTTTTCTGGGTTTTCTCCCAACACCCTTCCCCAGTCCCTCTGACTGCCACTTCAAGCTGGAAATGCTTCCCTTTGGGTGAAGACGGGCCACTGGCAGAGTGAGAGAACCAACACAGGTTAGGGAGTCAGCTTCAGATGGCACGGTAATAAAGGGGCACAGTAAGGCCTGGACCTTATCTAAGATGGCACAAGAGAAGACAGAGCTCCAGAGAGAGGTGGGGCCAGCGCAGGGCAGGGGCACACCCACCGAGGTGTCCCGGAGAAGGAGCGCAGAGCATTGCAGGCCCGCCGCGAGGAGTTTGTGGGGATTCCAGGCCACAGAGTCAGCCCTGGGTGGGGTAGAGCACAGCCAGGTCAGTGGCTCCTCTCAGGCTGTCTAACCAAAGCCCTCCTCCTTATCCCCACCCCCAGTAAAGGAGCTTTGGCCTCATCCTCACCCCAGCAGTCAGGAAGAGTTCCCATGTCTGACCTCCCAGCCCCAGTCAACCATCTCTCCAGGTCCCGTCCCACCAGCCCCATCCTAAGCTCCCTAGTCCATGACTATTCTCTGGATGGAGCATTCAAAGGGTGGGCTTTGGGAGGAAGGGGACTGTGTGCACCTCTGGATCCCATCCAGGAGATGCCTGTGTGTCTGTGACAGCAGGACGCTCCCACCCCAGGCGGCCTGTGGAGCAGGAAGAACAATGTGGGCCTTGGCTCAGCCCACCCCACCTCACCCCCAGGCCCAAATCGCACTCACATCCACATGCAGCCATAGCCCGTGACGCTGGCACACGTCAGCAATTGCCTCCAGAGGGTCAAAGGCCCCCAGCACGGTGGTTCCAGAGGTGGCACTGACCAGGAACGGCACAGCACCCTATTGCAAAAATGTAGAGGGAGAAAGAGGCGTAGGGCCATCTCAAAAGCTACCCAGAGCCTGGTGCTGGGCCCAGTTCTGAGCTTTCTGTGTATCTAACGTGGCCCATTTCAACCTTATAACACAGTGCTACTGTCCTCTTTAGTTTGCAGCTAGTGACACTGAGATTCAAGCAGAAACTCCAGGATGGACTTCAAACGTAGGTCAGTCTGATTGTTTATCTCCAAAGTTCGTAATCTTAAAAAATTTTAGAGCTAGGCTCGGTGGCTCAGCCTGTAATCCCGTGCCTTTGGGAGGCCGAGGTGAGTGGATTGCCTGAGCCTGCGGGTTCGAGACCCGCCTGGGCAACTTGGCGAGACGTCATCTCTACAATAAATCAAAAAATCAGCCGGGCGTGGTAGTGCATGCCTGTAATTCCGGCTATTCGGAAAGCTGAGGCGGAAGGATCGCTGGAGCCCAGCAGGTCGAGGCTGCGGTGGCCAGGAACGGCCACTGCACTCCAGTCTGGGCGACAGAGGAAGACTCCAACTCAAAAAAAAAAAAGAAAAAAATTTAGTATCTTACTGGAAGATCCAAATGCTATTTTAAAAATTTTGAAGCCAGGTGCAGTGGCGTAAGCCTGTTATCCCAACACTTTGGGAGGTAGAGGCGAGAGGATTGCCTGAGCCCAGGGGTTTGAGACCAGCCTGGACGACTTGGCAAGACCTTGTCTCTACAATAAATCAAAAAAATTAGCTGGGCGTGGTAGCGTGCGCCTATAATTCCAGCTACTTGGAATGCTGAGGTGGAAGGAGTTGAGCCCAGCAGGTCGAGGGTGCAGTGGCCATAAGCATGCCACTGCACTCCAACCTGGGCGACAAAGTGAGACTCCAATTAAAAAAAAAAAAAAAATGACCATAAAGAAGAGTCCAGGCCCAGATGGCCTTACTGATGAATTCCACTAAACATTTCAAGAATTGGTACCAGTTCACAAACTCCTCTAAAACAGAAAATACAAAACTCAACTGTATTTCTATACATTAGCAATGAACAATCTAAAATTGAAATTAGGAAAACAATTTCATTTACAAAAACACCAAAAATAAGCCAGGCTCAGTGGCTCAGCCTGTAATCCCGTGCTTTGGGAGGCTGAGGTGAGTGGATTGCCTGAGCCCGCAGGTTCGAGACCCGTCTGGGCAACTTGGCGAGACCTCATCTCTACAATAAATCAAAAATCAGCTGTGTGTGGTAGCACGCACCTGTAGTTCCAGCTACTTGGAAGGCTGAGGCGGAAGGATCGCCGGAGCCCAGCAGGTCGAGGCTGTGGTGGCCGGGAGCAGCCACTGCACTCCAGTCTGGGTGACAGAGTGAGACTCCAACTCAAAAAAAAAAAAACAAAAAACACCAAAAATAATAAAATACTCAGGAATCAATTTAACCAAAGAAGTGCAAAACATGTACTCCAAAAACTGCTAAATATTGTGGGAATAAATTAAGGAAAACATAAATAAGTGGGAAAACGTTTCATGGCCATCAATCAACACAATCCCTACGAAAATCCCAGTTGGCTTCTTTGCAGAAACTGACAAGCTCATCCTATATTCATATGGAAATTCAAGAAACCCAGACTAGCCAAAGCCATCCAAAAAAGAACAAAGGTGGAGGCCAAGATTCACTACAAAGATACAGTAATCAAGAGAACGTGGTCTACATGGTAGACATGTAGAACAATAGAATAGAATTGAGAATCCCGAAGTAAACTCTCACATTTACAAGTCCACTGATTTTCAACAAGGATGCCAAGACTGGGGAAAGAATAGACTTTTTGATCAATGGCGCTGGGACAACTGGATATCCTCATACAAAGAATGAAGTTCTTTCTCACATCACACTCCCTAATTTTTTTGTTTTGCTTTTGTTTTTGAGTCTCATTCTGTCACCCAGGATGGAGTGCAGTGGCAAGCTCACAGCCACCGCAGCCTTGACCTGCTGGGCTCAGGCGAGCCTTCCACCTCAGCCTTCCAAGTAGCTGGAACTACAGGCGCGCACTACCACACCCAGCTAATTTTTTTACTTATTGTAGAGGAGGTCTCGCCAAGTTACCCAGGCTGTCTCGAACCCCTAGGCTTAGGCAATCTTCTCGCCTCAGCCTCCCAAAGTGCTGAGATTATAAGCCTGAGCCACCACACCCAGCCAGACTTCATCAAAATTTAAACTTTTGTACCTCAAAGGACACTATCAAAAAAGTTAAAAGTCAAAGCTAAAAGCAGTGGCTCATGCCTATAATCCCACCAGCACTTTGAGAGGCCAAGGCAGGAAGAGTGCTTGAGCCCAAGACTTCGAGACTAGCTTGGGGAACATAGTGAGACCTTGTCTCCACAAAGATTTTTTTTTTTTTTGAGTTGGACTCTTGCTCTGTCGCCCAGACTGGAGTGCAGTGGCCGCTCCCGGCCACTGCAGCCTCAACCTGCTGGGC